AAACAAACTACTAGCCAAACTAGCCTTGGCCACTAGAAGAGCTATAGCCACCCATTGGGGTTCACCCACAGTCCCGTCTATCACCGACATAAAGAAAAAAATGAATGAAGCTAGGTCAATGGATAGTTTATCGGCACTCATTCACGACACCACAACACATTGTAACAAAATATGGGACCCATGGCTCATGGAACCCACCACTGCTAATTAGAAACTGGGACTCCACGAGAGTCAAGGCTGTGCACCACGAATCACAAACCAAACTAAAACCACCCTTCCCCTCCCAAAACCCCAACCTGAACCCTACCCCACTAACCCAATATATATGAAGGATTGTGTCAAAAGTAGAATCAATAGACAGGTAACCAACCACGTAAAGAGACACTCATACACATATAGCCCATGTGGACCATAATCATGGAAGAAACATGGAAACATGCACAACACCAAAAGGCCACACAACACCAAGATCAGGGACGCCTGTTCACTTCCCCACCCCTCCTACAGCCCCACTGAAGACTCCAAAATACACAACCTCTCTACCACACTTCACCCTTAATTTTAATTTAATTTTGTCTTATTTTTCTAACCCTCAATTTCCACTTCTTTTGATACTCCAATGCTACCTACAGTTGCATTCCAACATGTTTAGTTTTGTTTAATTGTATAAAAAAACTTGACAGAACAGAACCGCGTAGGAGGAACCTAATGTTGCATCACCAGATTACCTTTTCTCTACAAACTTTTCTGTATAATGATGTACTGTTGCAATGTTTGAAATTTGGCTTTTGCATAAGCCCATGCATTACCTTTGCGCAATACTCATGTGCTTGTCAATTCTGTCATTTGAAAAATAAAGAATTACAAAAAAAAGAATCGCCATATGGATGAAGCACGAAATAAAAGGGACAATGGACGAACAGTTTTGTTTGTTTCCTGAATTCTGTCCGTGGACCAAAAACACATATGATTGATGGGTAGAAGAAGATTGATGACTAGGGGACAGACACTAAATGTTCATTTTATTCACAACTAAGAAATGACCAATAAAGGAAAAATGAGGAGCAGTAAAAATATCTATATTTACATTTTGTATCTTTAATAAAAGTATAATTCATAAATATAGATTTATTTATTTTTTACTGCACCTCCTTTTTTCCCATCTATTAGCTTCTTCTTCATACTTGATTTATGAACCAAATGGCAGGAAGATGCACCTATCAGTGTATTGCAAAACATTTGCATAATATTTGTCTTTTATATATAAATTTTGCAGTACATGGATTGGCCAGTTTTTGCAATTTATGGTTTGTCAGATTCGTTTTATCCGAAACGATTGTATGGACAAAATTAGTGTGAACCGAAATGCCACATAGACGAATCTTGAATCAACTGAGACAAAACTTTTGCATCCAAATCAATTTTTTTTCACCATGCACAAGTATAGATATTACTATGTAGAAAATGTTATGTTGTAATTTTTCCTATCAACACTGCACTATAGACAGTGGTGTATTATGGATTGGTGCTGCCCTAGGCATGACTAAATTCGGGAACCCCCCAAATCTAAATTTGCCCCACCAATCCGTGTCAAGGCCACATCTTTGACAAGGCCCGGACTGGCCATCGGGCACACCGGGCAAATGCCCGGTGGGCCGCGGTGGCCATGGATCTCCCTCCCAAAGATGTCCCTCACCGGCCCACTTGAATAGACATGCAGCTCTGCCGGGTTCCTCTCGCGAGATCCGGAGCGATGCCATGGCAACGCCCCCCGATCTCGCGAGAGTGAACTCTAGCCGCAGGCTTGAATTCACTCACCACTAGGACCACCAGGGATGGTGTGAGAGTGCCGGTGTTCCCCCCCACCCAGGTACCACCGTCTCACACACAGTACTCTCACACACATCACACTCAGCAACACACACAAACACAAATCACACACAGCACCCTCCCACCTCCCCCCCACCCCCACTGGGTCCTTCAAACACACACTAGACTTATATATATATATATATATATATACACACACACCATAGTGATGTCCCGAACGGTTCGCCACGGACGGCGAACATATGCGCTGTTCGGTCCGCCTCCTATTCGTCATCATTGAGTAAACTTTGACCCTGTACCTCACAGTCAGCAGACACATTTCAGCCAATCAGCAGCAGACCCTCCCTCCCAGACCCTCCCACCTCCTGGACAGCTCACTAAGAATGCAGCTTCACAATGAATGTAAAATGGATGCTGTCCAGGAGGTAGAGACACCAGAGACACGTTGCAAGGAAACACAGTGCAAGCATGTTATTACATTTGCTTGCGCTGTGCAGAACAAATGCAGGGCTTTTTTTCTCATGCTAGAGCTCTTCAGCAGATCCCTGTGCATGGTCTGCCCTGGAAGAGCATTGAACTAACATGTTCACTTTGAGAGGGGGCGTGTTTGTCATTAGTGATGACAAAACACACCCTCTCTGCCCCGCTCCCTTTTTAGTGGGCCCCTGTGATAAAAAAAATGCCCGGGCCTAATTTTTTTCCCAGTCCGGCCCTGTTTTTGACTGACGGACACACACACTCACAATGACAGAGACACACACACACACTCACTGACAGACATGAACACACACTCACTGACAGACACACAAACACACTCACTGACAGACATACACGCACACATGTTCTCATACACTCACCAATTATTAATGTATTTTTTTTCATTTAAAAGTACATAGGTCCCTCACCGTCTGGCTAGAATATTACTAGTTTAAAACCTATAGGGGCCCTAAGGTGGCAACCAGCACTTGGGCCCCCTAGGACACGAGGCAAACAAGACATTTGCCTGGGCTCTTGGGGCAGCATTTTTTGCCGCCCCCCTGAAAGTGCCGCCCTAGGCAAATGCCTTGTTTGCATTGTGATAAATACAGCCCTGACTATAGATAGGCTTTGTGTGCTGCTCTGTCATAATATGGGGGGAAATTAAATATGGCTTACTTACATACTTCCTTTCTTCAAGGGGGACTTTAACTTCTCAGAATTTTTAACATTTATAACTATATTTAACAAAATGTAAAGTTTTAAAAATAAACCTGAATGTGGAAATCTATACTATTTTATCCTCCATTCTAACTCCCTGTTGTAAGGCCCAGGGCCGTCTTTAAGGAGGGGCAAAAGGGGCAGCTGCCCCGGGCCCTTGTAATATGGGGGTTGGCTGAATACAAACACACAGCTAGCCCCTCACACACTGCCCTGTGATCCCTTTTCTTCTCCGTGGCATGCTGGGAGGAAGTGAGGTCAGATCACTTCTTCCTCAGTGCCGCTGGGTAGGAGGCACACACCACACGGAGGAGGATGCAAGCATTGTTGGGGAGAGGTACTGAGAAAGCTGATGGCAGACTCCCATCAGCCTGGGCCAACAAGCTCCCACTGGACCCCAGGGAAGCCACCTTTCTGTACCCAAAAGGTAAGGAGACAGGAGGGTGGCTAAATAAGTTTTGTTTTTTTGTTTTGCTTATTTCTGATTTCACTTTTTTTTTGTAAATATGATTTTTATTTCCTGTATTTGGGAGTAAGAGGTAAGTATCATGCAGACACGCAGGTCTGTAGTTTGGATTCAGCGTAAAGAAAAAACATTCAACAGGCGGGCACGCAGGCCCAGCAACAAAGTCAGACTCGCAGGTCCCTTAAGTCAACATTAAAGCTTATGTGGGAGAACCCCCCTCCCCCCCCCAAGTTGTTCTCAGTAATCCCGTGTTCCCGTGTTGTTTGGAGCAGATTATCCACCTTCAGGCCGGGCATTTTGCCTACCTCTATACTGTCTGCTGCTCTCCCCGCTATTGCCCCCCTAGTATTCAGGTGTGCATGGTTGTATTGTCCGTGTGTGCGGGAGGGACTAGCGCGGTCCGGTCATTACGTGTTCTTATAAGGTCATGTCTAATGAGGCCCTTAGTTATTGACGGACTGTGGTGATATAGTGGGCAGGGGTCCCGTGTCGGAGGGGGATATGCATACTGGGGAGTGTGTTGCCCCTGTCTGTTGGACCTTTGCGACAGTTGGGTGGTATCCCCAGTGTTAATATATGAGAGGGGAAGGGGGGGGTAAGGTAAGTGTAGGGAAGGAGGAGGAGGGTCTGTCTGTCGTCCATGTGTCTATCCAGCCGGTGTAGCTCCCTGTCATTAGGTATGGAGCAGCGTCAGGAAGTCTTGTGTCGTCGTGGTCAGTATCCAGTGGGTCCAGATGTCTAAGTATGTCTGATGTTGTTTTTCAGTAGCTGACATGGCGAGCTCTTCTACCGCTCGTAGCTCTTCCATGTGAGTGAACCATTTAAGTATGGAAGGAGTCTCTGTTTTCTTCCAGTATTGTGGTATAGTTTGCTTAGCCATGTTTAGAATTCGAATTGTAAGGGACTTTTTGTATTTAGAAATTGGTGTGGTCGTGTGGTGGAGCAGCATTGCTGCCGGATCTAATGGTGGTGTGTTGTCAGTGAAGCGGGAGGCTATTTTATGGATTTTCCTCCACAATGGTTGTACGAGTTCGCATGCCCACCAAGTGTGTAGGGGTGTACCTGTCGTCTTGGCGCACCGCCAGCATAGGCTTGACCCATGAGCGTGCGTGTATTGAGTCGTGTCCGGGGTACAGTACCATTGCGTGAGTATCTTATATGCTGTCTCCTGACTCTTGCTGAAAATGGAGCAGTGGTGGGTGACCTCGCAAATCTTTTCCCAGTCAGCCCCACTAAATGTGTGATTAAGGGCCTCCTCCCATTTCCCCATAAAGCGTGGCGCGGCCATGGGTGTGAGCGTTTGTAGGAGGGCGTAGAGGTGCGAGATGCCATGTGGCAGTGGGTCAGGGTCTGCGCATAGTTGTTCGTAAGTGGTGAGTTCCCTAGTAATGGCTCCTGCGCGGGGCAGGGTCTTTACATAGCTCACCAACTGTGCGTAGTGGAAGTGGGTTGCGAATGGTTGGGTGTGACCCCCACATAAGTCAGCCAAGGTCCTCAGCCCCTGGCCGGAGCACACATGGTGCAGCCTCGGCAGTGGGTTTTGCACCAGGGCCCGCAGTGCCCTAGGGTCCGTGCCCGGCGGGAAGTCAGGATTATGTGTGAGGGGAAGCAATGGGGACGGGTGTGTGGAGAGCGCGTGTCTACCGGCATTGCCTCGCCATATCCTCAGAGTCACTTTCGTATATGGGGAGTAATGCGTTTCCCTTCCGTCCGTCCCCGCGGGGAGCCACGGGATAAGGGCGGCTGGGAGCTTAGCTATCCCCTCCTCTACCTGTTTCCATAGTTTGCTGACCCCAGTCTTGGACCACTCCGCAACACGTTGCAGGTGGCATGCCTTGTAGTATAGTCGGAAGTCCGGTAGAGCCAGACCCCCTCTGTGCTTGGGTTGAGTTAGCTGTGCGTATTTCAGTCTGGGTCTCCTCCCATCCCAAACAAAAGCCCCTAGAGCCTGCCGGAGCGTGGCGAAAAAAGAGGATGGGATTGTGATGGGCAGGGCCTGGAAGAGGTAGAGTAGTCTCGGTAGAAAGTTCATTTTTATTACTTGAATTCTACCCAGCCAGGAGATGTGCGGGAGGGCCCATTCCCTCATGTCTGTATGGAACTTAGCTAGTATCGGAGCGAAGTTCGCTGTGAATAACTCCGATTCCTTATCGGTCAGCCAAGTGCCGAGGTATCGGATTTTGTCCGTGGCCCATTGGAACGCAAAGCTCCGTCGGAGCTGTGCAGATCTCCTTGCGGGAATGCTTACATTTAAGATATAGGACTTTGAGAAGTTAATCTTGTACCCCGAAAGCCCTCCAAAGGCCTGGAACTCCTGCACTAAGTTGGGAAGGGAGACTTCCGGGTGGGTTATGAAGAATAGTAGGTCATCCGCATAAGCGGCTAGTTTATGTTGTGTGTCTCCTATGTGTACCCCCTTGATGTCTGGGTGGTGTCGGATTGTGGTTAGTAGGGGTTCTAAAGCCAGAACGAACAGTAGTGGGGACAGGGGACACCCCTGTCGCGTACCGTTGTATATCGGGAACGCCACTTTGGGTGCCCCGTTGACCAGCACATGCGCCGTCGGGTGAGTGTATAGGGCCTTAACCCATCCACGCAGGTATGGTCCCATACCCATGTGTGTCAATGTCTGGAACATATACTCGCAGCAGACCCTGTCAAAGGCCTTCTCCGCGTACGTGGACAGCAGGAGAAGGCCTGTGTCGTCCCCTGATTTCCTGTGCATAATCGTGAGGGCCCTGATGGTGTCGTCTCTGGCTTCCTGACCCATCACAAACCCCACCTGGTCCGCATGGACCAGAGAGGGCATGTGCACCTGGAGCCGGGTCGCCAAGACCTTGGCCAGTAGTTTGATGTCATTGTTTATGAGGGATATGGGCCGGAAGCTCCCGCAGTGCTCACGGTCCTTGCCCTCTTTTGGAATTATGGTGATATGGGTCATGAGTGCCTGTGTGGGTAATTCATGTCCCTCTCTGATGGCGTTGAACATGGCCAGTAGTGGGGGATACAGGGTCTCGGCATAGCTTTTATAATATTTGAGGGGCAGGCCATCGGGACCTGGACTCCTACCCGGTTTCATGGATTTGATTGCGAGTGCTAGTTCCCCCATGGATATTGGTTCGTCTAGTTGATCTGCCGTGTCGGCCTCCAGGGAGGGGAGCCTATGGGTCTGTAGGTAGTCGTCTATTGAGGTCTGTAGTGAACGTGACTGTGCGTCTGTGTGTGGGCGTGGAAGGGAGTAGAGTTCCGCGTAATATGTGCGAATAATTTCCTGAATCTTGGCCGGGTGTCTGTGTAGGAGCCCTGCCTTGTCACGGATCCTGTCTATATACGTGTCTTGTCTCCTTTTGGCCAGCATGCGCGCTACTGATTTCACTTTTATTCAAGTGTTGGTGTTTGTAATGTAACACACAGGGAATAAGTACATGTTAAAAATCCTAGAAGAACCTGACAGTTCTCTATTAAATATAAATTTTAAAAGTATTTATTTTAACATATTATTGCATCAAGTGTTATCAAAGGCTGTATACACATTCCTGTATTAAAACGCTAAAATTATATACAAACACCAACTCTACACACAAAAGTACACCTGCATTTAAAAGCCAACACTACAGACAATCACACATTACTGCATTCAAACGCAAACACTACACACAAGTGCATCACTGCATTCCAGTGGTAACAGTACATACAAATACACCCCTACAGGCACACATACACTCTATACAATAACATGCTGACATTCAATTGCACAAACACTGCTCAAAAATACAACCCTGCAAGGATGGTAGATCCCCACCTGGCATAGCATCGCAGGAGTTGTATGACAGATGGGGATCTATCTTTTCTTTACTCTTGTGCTACAGGGCAGGCCTGAATTATTATTTTTTTGCACCAAGGCACTCTCTACATTAGTTTCGCCTCTAGGTTGAGGTGGAGGGAGTGATTGCATGCCCAGGGGGCCCAAGCAGATGCTTGCCCAGGGTCCAATCAATATTAAAGACGGCCCTGGTAAGGCCACTTACTAACTCTGATGCTGTAACCTCAAGTTCACCATAGTTTCAATCATATTCTAGGGGCAGCATCATTGTCACTTGGTAAGCCTCTTATCATTCCAGCCTCCATCAGTACTAAAATAATGCTAGCTGTGACCTTCACTTTTTTATGTACTTTAGTTAGTGTGTCACTTTTGCAATAGTGGTGCAATTGAAGAAACAAGGGCCTGGTCCTACATAAAATCATGTCACCATAGGACCAATGCCCCTTTGTGGTTTATAATCCCTTAAGGAAGCCATTTTGTAATTTTTTTTTATTCAGGTCCTTATCTAGCTTGTCCCCGATACCTAGTTGCATATTTTGGTTTCCCTGACCTCGCTTGTTCCTGACTTTCGAGTTTAGTCCGACTCTGGCTTAGTATTTTTGTTATTCTTACCACTGTTATATACTAATTCTATCTAAGCGTTCAGCTTGGCCACTCTAAGGTTGGGTAATAAGCCTCCTTTTCCTTTGTTAGATCGCCGACATATCTTGCTGAAGATTACATTTGAATCCTGACACCTGTCAATCATTGTTACAAATTCTATCCTTTGCACTTTGCAGTCAGCATAGAGGGCATTCATAAAGAAGGAAAATTACACAATGTTTCTGTAACATTCACATTTGCAATGTTTGCCCTGCCTTTGCCTTGTCTGTACTAGATTATGATGTAATTTGCTAAAGTCTCACTTACCTTTCTTCCCTCGCTGTGCTGGCCTTGCCATGTAACTCTGCTTCCATGGCTGAAATCATCAAGATTCACAATCTCATCCAATTCATTGCTTTCCCATTGGGGACTGCATCTCGGGTCTGGAAAAAGGGGTCCATTGGGGACATGCCTATACTATTATCTGCACTTTTCTTGTATTATCTATGCTTATCCACTTTATAAACAAATAAAATATATTTTTTATGTGCAAATTTATTCTGGTGTGGTTGGTTGGTTATATTTAAAATTAACTAGGTGTATGGATCTGGTGGGGGATCAGATGTTCCCTTTGAGCACCTGATAACTCTTTACTATATTAACCCATACGTACAGTTTGAGCGCTCACTATAACTTTCTATGCATTTATTTCGTTTAGAGCCTCATAGTTACATAGTTACATAGTTACATAGTTACATAGCTGAAAAGAGACTTGCGTCCATCAAGTTCAGCCTTCCTCAGAAATGTTGTTGCTGTTGATCCAAAAGAAGGCAAAAAACCTGGTCTGAAGCACTTCCAATTTTGCCACAAACTAGGAAAAAATTCCTTCTTGACCCCAAAATAGCAGTCAGATGTCTCCTTGGATCAATCAGCTATTACCCCACTAATTAGAAATTATATCCCTGTATGTTATGTTTTTGTAAGTATTTATCCAATTTCAGTTTAAACATCTGTATGGACTCTGACAAAACCACCTCTTCAGGCAGAGAATTCCATATCCTTATTGTTCTTACTGTAAAAAAACCTTTTCTTTGCCTTAGATGAAATCTCCTTTCTTCCCCCATTCACCATAAAATTAGGAAAACAAATGTTTTACTCCCCTTTTTATAGCAGGGAGACTCCCCTTTCCACTTCCTTCGACATTGAGGAGGCATGGCCTCCTCTGGTGATAGTCCAATCCAATGCTCTTCACAGAGAAACATTGGGGACCTGATGGGCATGCGCAGCGAACGCCACACATGCATCCAAGCTTCTCCATAGCAAAACATTGAATTCAGTGCTTTCCTATGAGCTTTTGCATCAGGTGATTGAGTTTTAGTTGATCAGTGTAGCTGAAGCACCTCTACTGGCTCTCAGTATGACAGCAACTGGGGGTGTAAACATTGCAGTTTCTAAAAAAAAAAAAAAAAAAAAAAAAACTGCACTCTTTTACCATTGTAGGGTTAAAATGACAGGGCTATGGCACTCAGACCATTTCATTGAGATTTAGTGGTCCTTTAAGTGTATAGCACCTATAACAGTAATACACGCATGCTCCAAGAAAGTAACTATGCAGGGATTTTACCATTCATTCTTATTGCACATGCAAGAGATCCAGATAGCATGATAAATAACGACACTTGCTCCCTTCAAAACCAACCACCTTATAATAAATAAATTTCCACTCATAATTTGAGAGATGAATTATTGCAGTTTAATAACTGTTCTGCAGCTAGCATGTGTATACAACAGGATACATCAATGTTTTCATTCCTTTGTCAATATATCAATGAAACCTGAAAATATCCAGCAGAGGGCCAAATCCTCAGTTTATCTTTGGTTATTAAATAGCAATTTTAGTATAGACTGCAATGGTGAAATCCTTATTCACTTATTAGAGAGAAAGTCATACCTATTATTTCTGGAAACAGTACCCAGCAGTGAAACCTTGAAATGTATTAATTTATTGGGGGGGATTTAAGAGATGCAAAATTAACAATTTGGCTTACGTGAAGTAAATAAATAGATAAATATAAGATGTAATTAGCAGGGTGTTATTCAGTGAGTGGCAGTGTTGTATAGCTCTCACACAGTGCAGTAGTGGGATTATGGTGACTGCATGCCAGGGCTGTAGTGTAATCAGAGCTGGGAGTGCAGCACAGGGAAAGAGCCGGTGTTCGCCGCTGGCTGGGGATGAACTTCCTCTCTGGATCCCGGAACTCTGATTCTAGAGTGTGGAAGAAACAACAACAGAGAGCGCCAGCCGCCAGGAGCATGCTTACTCAGAGCTAGACCGGGGCGAGCAGGTGAGACACATACTGAGTGGGCTCTGAGTGACTGACAGGGGGGATAAACTGTATTGTATGGAAACATGCGGGAGGGGACTGGGTGTAGGGAGGGAGGAAAGGGGGCTCTGGCAGTGATTGTGTGATGATCTGATAAGGGGACTAACCCAGGCCGGTGGGTCATTACACACAGCGGGAGAGATCTGCCCGGACATGGTGAGTGACTGAGAGTGGGGCTGACTGAACACAGCACAATGGAAAGCTGTGGGGAGAGATGTGAGTGAGCTGA